GGTGCACTGCTCCTAAGAAGGGAGAAAACTGCTAAGGAAAGAGCCCTAGCAGTGAGTGACGAGCCCAGCTGCTGTTTGCCAGGGCAACCGGAGGAGGTCAGCTAACCAGAAGAGGCAGGGCCTGGCTCCCATATAAAGCCCAGGGGCTGAGGCCAGGCTAGCAGTTCCCTACCAGCAGCCAGGGGGGAATGAGCTCTCCCGGAGCAAAGCTGAGAGGAGAGGCCTGACCGCAGGTACAGCCTGAGCCTGGTAAAGGTTGGAATATCCCTGGAATGTTTGGAGTAACGTGGTTATAGCTGGGCGGCTTTAGTTTGTTATAGCCAAGGGGCATGCGTTTTGTTTACTGTTTAATACCAGTGGTTTGGGTCAGGCTATTAGGGGTTGGAGGAGGCCTCATAGGGGACCCTCATTAGTGTGGGGACCGCAACGTCAGCAAGTGCACAGCATTTGGGGTGCACTGACCCTATCCCCAGAAAGGGGGCAGTTGAGAAGCCCCAGAGAGGGGACGTTGAGGAGAAGCCCCAGTGCAGGTGTGGAGAAGCCCCAGAGGAAGGGGCAGCGTTATTGTGGGGAAGCCCCAGAGAGGGAGCAGCACTGACGAGCGCCAGAGAGGGCACAGGGTGAGACCAGTGCCGCGCAGGGCCCAGGGAGGACAAGGGGCCCACATTATAACAAGGCCGTGACCGAACAACGTCAATTCCATCTGTGACGCTTGGGGCATGGTAAAGGGGTGGTTGGAGCCACGCATAGCCCATAAGGCTAGGGTGCCCCTGAAACACCCATTGCAGAGCGGGACCCACGAGGGGTCTGGGAAACCACGGGGTCTGAGTGTCCAGCAAGACGTGACCAAGAGGGCGTAAAAGTCAGCCTCCCAAATATATTTTGTCATCAAAGACGTGGCGGGCGAGAGTTGAGGGTGCCCACTGGGTCAATTTGGCATGGTAAAGGGGGCCTTAGGGAGACCATGGCCATCCTACTGGACCCCAAGGCATGACAGGTAAGGAATGAGAGGGGAAAAGAAAGAAGGAAATATACACCATAGACCAATAACTTTGAAAGTGGGGGGAAGAGGGACATAAAGGTAAAAAAAACTTAAATATGTTGGCATAATTGATTTAAATTCTGCACTCGTTAAGAATGATAGGAAGCCATTTTGAATATATCTTTTTTATGAATCAAGATTAAATTAATCTGAATTAAAACGAGTAAACATTAAAAACAACGCAACTGAGTGGGATACACATGACAACATTCTCATAGAACAGCAAGAAATCCCTGGGTCATTGCAGACTAAACCTATGTATTTAATCTGCGTGACAATTTTATCTCTTCCCGTTAACATTTTCTTTCCTTAATTGGTGGTGGCAGAGAACTAACATGTGGTAAGATTGGTTATTGTGGTTTCTCAAATTTAGAGAAATGAAAATAAGCTTCTTTGGTTGTTCAAATTTAAGAACAAAAACTGTCTGTACACGTGCGATTGATTTGCATAACATGCAGATCTTTTAAGAAGGTGTTTTACATAGGAAAAAAAATTACTTACAGCACTGTGGAGGAGAAGACTGAGGTGTCTTGCAGAAAGGTTGCCTGTACTTTAATAACCAAGTCAAACTCTCTCTAAGAGACAAGGGTGTTTGTGAAGAAGGGTGTTTGTGTTCGAAAGCTTGCAAAGAACATTTTTTTTCAACTGTTTAGTTGGCCTAATAAAGATATCATATCTATTCATAACTCTTTCTGCCTGGGTCAAACGAGAAGGTTTGTGGTAAGTAAAACTAATTAACTAACCTTAATTCTGGCATAAATCAGACTGGATTTAATTCTTGCTCTTCAAGTACCACTGTTGTTAATGAATGCAAATGTATTACAGAACAAAACTATATGGTACACTTTAACTGACAAATATTAGAATACAGAAAAGAATGAACTCTACTTCCTTTAGTGTGTAAGCTGAACTTCTTATCAGTCTAATCATTTGATAGTTACTATCTGTATCATTTTACAAAATGTGCTTGTTTATGTATATAACTGCTATCACCCACTCTGATACTACAGGGAAAGTCGCATAACCACTCTAGATCTGTTTATCTGTCTGTAAAAGTGTGATGGTCTCATATATAATTCCGTATCAAGGTATTTTTGTTATTAGCTTGTTCATGTTTGGAAACATTCATAAATTATAACATTTAATAAACATTTAATGGACCAGTGGATTGACTGAGTCCATTACTAGTAGCAGAATTATTCATTTGGAGGTTAGTAGCTAAAACTACTACATTTACTGCTGATGTGTTTATTAAAGTTTAATGAATCAGCCATTTCTATTCTCCATAGGGTATTTCTGTTTACTTTCTCTGGGTAACCCCATTGAAGACCATAGGGATGTTGTGTAATGAAATTTGCTCTGTAAGAATCAGAAGGTTTTTTGGGATGAGAAAAAAAGTTTTAAGAAAGGGATGTTAATGACCCTGATTCTGTAACTGAGTTCTGTAATGGCAGATCCCTTGGCCCGCTCAGATCTCTGTTAAATTCGGCGTAGAACACCTAATATGAATGATACAGCAAATTATGGCTAGTTATCAAGGATCTGTTTTGGCTAACTGCCTTTTCCCCAAATAAAATCCTGAAGGATTTCCATTTGTAACCTGCTGTGGTTGTTTAAAGGTAGAATCCTTGTTTGCCAGTGGGAGATCCAGGTTTGATTCCTGGATGCACATACAGTCATAGTCTTTGAAGCACTGAATATCCAGGCTCAGTCTAGCCTTTGAATACTGTCTAAAGGGGGGATAGAAGGTCTGGGAAGCCTCCACTCCTCCGTACTCCTGCCTGTGTGCGTGTTGAAGGTCCTGGTGACCTCTTACGCATACACCATGATCCAGAAAGAGTGACAGTTGCCTACTACCATGTGAAATAGAAAAAAATTATAAATAACTGCTTCTGTCTTTGTTTACTTGTGTTTTGTAACAGCTCAAGGAATTTCTGTTAGATTTTTAAGTTTTATTATAATTTGTTAGAGGGAAAGTCATTCCTGTCACTGTTAAGGTATATGTCCATACTACTTTCATGTAAGGCGACAGCAAGTAAGGAACTGAGGTGCTGTAATGACTGACACCACAAAGGCAAGAGAAATCATTAGCAATAAACCTAGCATTTTTATCTCCAGAACAGTCAAAACCCGCTCATGCGCCTGATCCAAACCCAGTAAAGTCAACTGGACCACTAATATTGACTTCAGTAGTATTGATATTGGGCTCTATATACTACATTTGAAAAGCAAATACTCACAAGACAGTGAAACAGGGGGAAAAAAAAACAATCTAAAGCAAAATTGCTCAGGTGAAACTTTCAGGAAAAGATCTTATAAAATCTGTGTAATGTTTAGATTGTACTGACTGTAGGCTTCATTTGCCCTTAATAAATGAGACTTTGGCTAGACTTTGGTAGCCTAGTGAAATTTCAAGTATGGGTGCATATTCATACACCAAGAAAGAAACAGAGTAGATTATTATTGTGATTTATTAGCAAGTACCCATACACAAGCCCTGGGCACCCTTCCCAATTATCTTAATACACAATTCCAAAATACAATACAATCAGCTCATGCCTTTTACCACTCCATAACTCACACTCGGATTTACTGCTTTAAACACTGGCTGGCAGGTCAACTGATTTACCAGTAAACAAAGGTCAACTGAAGCCTCCAGTTCCTACAACGTGTATTGAAAGCTGCCAGATTTAGACTATCTTGGACCACTGTGGGGGGAGGGTAATCCAGAGCCTTTGTCCCCTGATGGACAGGGATCTACCTAAACTGCAGCGGAAATTTGTGGTGCAGTGGTGCCTTTTAATCTTGCCCTTTTTGCCGCATGCCTCCCTCTTTCCCCGCCCCCCCATCTGCTGAGTGGCCAAGAGGCAAAAACTGTAGCATTAATTACTTCTTGGCCACTCCAGTGGTAAAGGTGTAGGGGAGTGCACTGCAAAAAGACGGAGATTAAAGGCACCGCTGTGTTGCTAACTTTCGCTACAATTTAGGTAGGTCCCTACTTACGGAGAATGCCTTGCCAGAAAGCCACTCTCCATTGTGCCATGTCAGCACCACTGCTGATCATAATTGTGATAGCACTTTATGGGAAGAGAAGCAGGGTCCCAAGTAGACTCATTTTTAGTCCATCCAGGGCTATATCATTTAAAACCAATGCACTAAAAGCTGTTCAGAAGCTCTCAGGTAATAAGTGCTGGCACTGGTATTATGCGTGCTCTAAAAGGCACCTTACTTACCAGCTGGGAATTTGTTTTCTGTACCCATTCTAGTTTATAAACTGATATAAAGTGCAGCTCCATATCACTGTAGTACTCTAGCCTGCAAGTGACAAAGGCATGAATGATAGTCATAAGACTTCTATCAGGCCAGGCATAGACAGTAAAAGGCTGGCGTCTGATCTTCTAAATGCAGCTGTAGGCTCAGATTACCAAAGGCAGTTGGATTTAGAGTGAGATATAGTCCCTGCCATCTCTTCTATTTCTTTCTTTTGACCTACTGTCATCTTATTAGCCATGGTTGACAGTCGCATTGCTTTCATCTGTACCCCAATTTTCGATGGATATTCTCAGTGAGTCTCTCAATTTTATTACTTTAATGACAATCTGCCAAATGCTTGTCTGACTGGAACTGTGGTTGCATCAGTACAGTAATAAGTGAGGCAAATTCATTCCTGAAATGAATCCAGCGATGTCAACTGAATCACAACAGATTAATTTAACCTACTTTATTCTACATATGTCTAGAATATACCCTTTTTCACAGCTGCATCATGTTGGCAGGTTGTGATCATCCTATGACTGATTGATTAGTACACCTAGATCTTGTCCATTTTAGCTATTTCTAACTGATGAGCTTCCAGCTGGTAGTTCATTTTTCTGTTATTAGGCCCCAAAGCCTGACTGAATGTTATCCTATTCGAATCCTCGGAGGCAACCAGTACTTCCTGTATGATATATAATTCTCCTCTGTGTTGATGCTACTTCTTGACTCTGTCATCGGAACACTCCTAATATCTGACCCAAGGTCAATAATGAAAATATTAAATAAGATTGGTCCTAAGAGTGATCATTGAAAAACTGTGTTAGTAACCTCCCTCCAATCTGATCCTGCTTTTCCACACCATGTATTGCTGTCTCTTGAGAGAGTTTGTTTTTTGTGTTTGTTTTTTTTCCTTACCCACATTGCAATTTCTCTAATAATTCTCCAGCCTCTCTAGTTTCATTAATGTTGTTTTTTTTTTTTTTTTAACTTGCATGCTATCAAATGCTTTACTAAAAACTAGAAAGAGAAAATTTACCACACTTTCTTTATCCAGAAAATCAGTGACCTTATCAAAGAAAGCTATCAGGTTGGTGTATCGTAATCTAGCTTTGGTACACCAAATCTACTTTGGGATTTTTCAGTTCATTTTGGTGTTTTGTTTTTTTTATGCTATGAAATAGTTTTTTTTGTTTGACTCTATGGGTATACCTTTTAGACAGCAACTTAGAAACTAAGATAGGGAACCAGCTTTAATGTTTTACCCTCTTTCAAAAAAGAGATATCGCATCCAACATCTAGCACGTCTCCACGATTGAGCCTCCTGCTAATTTAAACTTAACTTGAAGCTACCAGTACCATGTAATTACTTCTGATTACTGTGACTCGGTTTTTTTATACCTAGTACTTTTGTTATTTAAAAAAAAAAAAATGTTTGTGGTATCTTCTTTAATTTTCTGTTGGTGCAAACATGTTGGTTAGCATAAACACTCTTGGATATAAACACAGATGTTTTCTAAAATTCATTAAAACATAAAATCAAATCCTTCCAAATCCTATTACAACGGTGCAGTAGCGTGTCACAGCACAAACTGTGCTAATAGCTTACTATGCAGTGTTATTAGTTTAATGCTCAGTTAGCATCACTAAATAACCATACACCAGAGCTACTGCGTAGTAACTTTAGGTACTGCACATTTAGTTAGTAACATTTAGTTACTTTATTAAAGAAGTACTAAACTAAATGCACAACATCAAAGGCACACTAATGAACGTATAGACGCGCCCTGCATGTCCAAATAGCAAAAGTTTACACAATATGGGCACCTCTGCAAGCATCTGCCTGATTTTCTCCAGGCACATTTGGCTCAAGTATTTCAGGGACAGCATTTTGAATGTGTATTTCAGAAACTAGTTACAGCTCACTTGAGTGACTAATATAGGCATTAACTGGCAATCATTTATAGATATATTTAACTTTATAGACACTGTATACAATCAAGTTGGCTTCATGGTACTTCTCTTATGCCTAAAGTACAGTAGTGTCCTGAAGAGAATTAGGTCCTGGCCTTTAATCGGTTGCTTTCTCCAAGCACAAGGAGACCATTTAATTAACAATTAAACCATTCCATTAGATACCGGCCTGGTCTCCATGGTTCCAGTGCTAATAGCATCATTTAAAAAATATTATCCCAACATGATGATAAAAAAGAGCCCAATTAGTAAATCAGTAACATCCAGCTATGTTATCTAAAGTGTGCACAGGATTAATTTTTCATGCTTGCATATTAAGCAAGTTATTGTTGTACTCCTCAGGAGGAAGTGGTGATCATTTCAATGTAACCCTGTGCCTTTAACAAATGCTGTTATCTCTTGTTTCTCTGATTCCCAATATTGAAGTATATCACTACTGAAGTTGAGGGTAAATGCACGCAGGCCAGCCACAAAAAAAAAAAAAAAAAAAA